TCAGACCTTTGTAGTTTCGACAGATCCTCACATATATCACACTTATCAATATACACTCGAAACATCACCCAAAACGCCAATGCATCATCTGATCGTTTCATCTTAATCACAAGCCCCGTATTTGAACGCGGGATCACCTCCTCGTCCTCTTCCCACCGCCATTATCACCCCACCTCTCCTCCCCCGTCCAATACTTCACCAAACTCTGCCAACCCATGAGATCCCCATCCCTCAACAGCGCCGCGACATCCACATTCAACGGACTTTCCGGGCGCGGATCACTCAGCAACTGGTGGATGGCGGACAGCGTGGAGCTCAGTGTGTATGCCGGCGTCCAGTGCTCGGTGGTTAAGAGGGTGAGGCAGATTTCGCCGGTGGTGAAGGAGATGTTGGGGTGGCAGATGGGGGTCTTGAAGGAAATGGTGGGCGGGGAGAGGGGGTAGGTGGGTGGGATGGTGATGGAGAGGGACCAGAGGCCGTCTAGGAAAAGAGGTCAGATGGGTTTAATTCTATCAGGTTCTTTGGGGAAGGGGCGGGGAGAACTTGCTTTCGTAGGGAGTGCCCGGGACGCCTTTCAGGACGGCTTCCCAGCGGAGAAGGTCGTCGTCGGAGATGGGGCCCAGATGGAGGAGGGCTTCGTTGGGCGAGGTTTGGTATTCGGCTAGTTCGCGCAGGAGGCGTTTGGTGGTGCTTGCAGAGGCCATCGTGGTCGTGCTTCTGTGTGAGCTGTCTGATAAAATGGTCGAAAAGCGCAAGTTCTCGTCGTCCCGAATCTGTTTTGTTTGTTTGTCCCGAGGCTCTTTGGGCTTGGCGCACGTGGCCCGGGGGTGGCTGGAGCTGGTCGCCCTGTGGCGGTGCATGGGGCGGTGCGTCAAGGTTGAAAAGCTTCAGCGGACGACAGTCGACACAACACATGCACGCGTGTCTGTCTCTTGTTCCGCGACTGCGATTGCCAACGGGCTTTGTCTGTGTGATGGGAGCATCTCGACTATCTAAGCGAATGACAAACCCGGTTGACTCCTTGTCTACTCGTCGAGTAACCCGGCGCACTGCGGCATCGTCGACGACATCAAGCTACTTTGACAGCTCGAGAGGAACCCGACGGACACTTGCTACGCACACCGCTATTGTGAAAGAGGAGGTTGTTAGTGATGTGGAAGCGCGAAATGGGAATGGGTCCGAGGACGATGACAGTTCCATTCTTTCTGAAGCTAATACAGCCGACATTGAAGACCTGTTGAAACCAGAACCCAGCCCACAATCAACCTCGAGAAAGCGGAAACGAAGTTCCGCGGTGAAAACAGAAGATGGCGTTGCTACAAATGGTGCTCCGTCTCCCAAAACGCAGCTGCGGAAGCCCAGAAAGGTCGCTGTGAAAGAAGAGTCCGCCCAAAGCACCGCGTTTCCCAAGAAAAAGGCAAAGTCTCGCAAACCGGCTCCTGCTCCTGGATCCATCCCACCGCCGCCAAATTGGGAGGAAATGTACAGTCTCATCAAAGATATGCGACTCAAAAATCCTACCGCGCCCGTCGACACCATGGGTTGCGCCGAGTTATACTGGCGCAATTCCACAGAGCAGGAACGGCGCTTTCACATCCTCGTTGCCCTGATGCTATCCTCCCAGACAAAAGACACGGTAACGGCCGTCGCCATGCACCGCTTACACACTGAACTAGGTCCAGAACACGACGACCGCGACGCCAACACTCCGGACACAAAGGCCGTCGCCCAGTGGGACACCAGCACCCACTCCACTGCCCGCTCAACCCTCACGATCGCCAACATCCTCCGCGTCCCCGCACCCCGACTCAACCAACTGATCCACTCCGTCGGCTTCCACAACCTCAAAACCAAATACCTCCAAACCACCGCCTCTCTCCTCCAAGCCCACCACGACTCCGACATCCCCCGCACCGCCGCCGATCTCATGAGTCTCCCCGGCGTGGGGCCCAAAATGGCATATCTGTGCATGAGTTCTGCGTGGGGAGTGGACGACGGGATCGGTGTGGATGTGCATGTTCATCGGATTACGAACTTGTGGGGGTGGGTGCGGACGAAGACGCCGGAGGAGACGAGGGTGGTGTTGGAGGCGTGGTTGCCAAGGGACAAGTGGAGGGAAATCAATTGGCTGTTGGTGGGGTTGGGGCAGACGGTGTGTTTGCCGGTTGGGCGGAGATGTGGAGAGTGTGCATTGGCGGGTACAGGGCTGTGCAAGGGGGAGATCAAGGGGAAGGCCGCTGTGAGCGTGAAGCGGGAGAGCAAGGTCAAGATGGAGATAAAGATGGAAGACGAGGGGTGAACTAACACATTGCTATCATATGATACCCTTTATGCAATTTCTCGCATTTGATTAATGAATTGGATGCTGGATATTTTTGGTCTATCTCAGGGCCTCCCAAACACTGGCCCTACTGAACTAAAAAGTTCGGTATATACATCCTCCGGGTATAGGCAAAACTATTGAACATTATATAATTTCATTTATGCGAAGCCTACAACTTCGAGCTCGCCGGGCATCCACCACACGCTGGCGTTGTTGGATGCAACGTCGACTTGTTGAATCCTTGGTTTGACTGCGGCACGTCCAGCGCAGGATTCTTCTCGAAGAATCCATCGGGCTTCAAAGTGACGCTTATCCTCTCGACAGGCATGATGGGGAAGTCCTCTGGTCGGGGATTATGCGTCAATGCAAATGCTGTGAGAGCTTAGTACTTGTCTTTTTTCTTCTCCGCGAGAGGTAGAAACTTACAGTGCCATAACACAACATCCGAGTTCTCAACATTGTCATTTCTCGCGGACCATACTTCTACACCCGAAGAGTCTCTGCTCTGGTTGGTGAACTCTCCCGCTGAATACAGTTCTCCGTCCTGATACTTGGTCACCCAGATAGGTTTCGTGGCGAATGCGGCCCGGCGATGATTGAAGCTGCGCTTTGCCATAATCATAAGCTGGCTGGGCAACACGCCAAGTTTATAGGCGACGGGATTTCCCGATGTAGGGTTAATCACGTTGTCGTTTCTGATTTTGAAAACGCGAGCCTTTTCGACGCTCAGATCCGCAGACCCAGATTTCTGGAAGGCGGTGGTGTTTTGCACATAACCCACGCCATAAGGGTTCATGTTTGGTTCATCCGGGAGGGGAACACTTTCTTGGTAGACGACGGTGTTGTTGTGTCCATCAATGGCGGGATCGACACGCATGCTGAAGATATGTTGGTGATATGCGGCCATCACGCCTGGACCAACGTTGGTACCCCATGGCACCTTTGTACCGTCTGCATTGTCGATTGGCATGGTGGAAAGGATGCCTGTTGCGCGGACTTCGAGTTCAATGCCGCCGGCTTGGTCGAAAATCCAAGCAAAAATGTACTCATAGTTGGAGACCGTGCAGATCATCTGTACAACCAATTGGCGGTTACGGACGGCGGTTGCAGCACCGGTTCTGTAGTTGGTATGTTTGTGCTGCAGGCCAGCGTCCTGCTCGTGCAGGCAGATCACGTTCTTGAGAAGGACAGGATTGCCCTTGGAATCGGTTCTGAAACCATCAAAGTACTTGATGTGGCCGAGACAGTCACAGCCGAGGGAGAGTTGATTGGCCGTGTTTCCGAAACCAACATCACCAACGTCGAAGGCTTGCTTGCGGTGGTACGGAGCGCGCGGGTCTACGCCTATTTAGCGGGTGCTTTTCATCATAGCCGGAATGAAGGGATACTTACCGCCATATGGAACCGTCATCTCGCACAGAGACAATCTGTGAAAGACATTGCGGTTGTCGTAGGTGACGTTATAAATCACCAAACCGTCGCGATAGTTGAAGCCAACTCTGAACCTCCATTTCTGCCAGTAAACGTGATTCCCAGTCACATTGAAGGACGGGCCCTCTGGCTGCTGAACAATATAAGGTTTGAGGTCGGTTCGAAGTGGCTCTTCCAAAAGGTCGTGAGCGTATTGCACGGTCTTGACTGGCTTCCAAGCCTTGGTGGGATTCGTGGCATGGTCGGTGCCCGTAGGAAGATAGTCCATACGGACGAGCTCCTTGGTCATGCCATCGAAGACCGGCGAGAAGGCGCATGGGAGAGAGTAATGATTGGTCTGGTCGTGTTCAACGTCGCACATATACATGTAGTGTTGGAACAAGCGGCGTGTCTCGGTGTCGCTGTCCGTCCCGTAGATCCACGGGTCATTGCAAACCACAACATTTGGGGGGAGGTTCATCTTTGCAATCTCGGCTTTGACCGCGGGATGGTCGTTGCAAACTTTCTCCATCTCAATCATTTCATCGACATCCGTAGGTCCCTAATGCGGGGATTTAGTTCTGCACCAAAACAAGATATCCAAAGAATGCCTTACCTGGACTTCCCTTGGAAGCTCCTTGCACTGAATCACGGCCTTTTTGTCTGCGTTGATCAGAGCCTTCATGAAAGCCTTGGTGTCCATCCGATGAAAGAGCGCCGTCAGGATACGGGCAGGCTTCGAGGGCAAGGGCTTGCCCAGTCTTTCTGCTTCGAGAAAGGGCACAACATCTCGCTTGATGGGTTCCTGGACCTCGATGACCTTGTGCCGAAGCGGGACACCAGGGAATGAAGCCTCGAGGATCTTGGCCACCAGGCGAATCTCGCCGGGGGTTAACGGGTCAAAAGGATGGAGGGACATGTTGAACAAAAAGAGAGAGATATATCAAAGCCCCGAAGACGCTTGAGAAGCAACGGCGCAAAAGATCGCTACAGGTATATGTATGACCTTTCCCAACGTGATACTTGAGGGGGGAAAAGGAAAAAGCAATAGACAAGGCGAGGATAGAAGGGAGTATTTGAAGTGTTGCCGCACCAAAATCTAGAACCGTAAACACCCCGCACGAAGCGCGGAGGCGACCACCTAAACAGCCCGCATGGCCTGAATAAATCCTGCATCCGAGATACGGGCGCTTGCTCCGGGCCAGACACAACTATTTTCCGCTTGATACCTTCGGCTCCAAGCCCGGTGGAGCGCCCGGAAGCGGCGACAAGTTGGTCACGCTGGGCGCTGGTCCGATGCCGAGGGAGCCTGCTCGACGCCGATTGGCCGGAGCCACGCGGAGCTCGCATCGGCATTCCAGATCGGGAAAGGCGCGGGATCGGCGGGATTGGGTGTTTGTCTTGTTGTCAAACAGGGCCTCCGCTGCGATTCAAGCATTCCGGTGGGCCGAGAGAAAGGGGAAGACAGTCAAGAAGGGACTGTCTGGCTATCGCAGTCTGCGGGGTAAATCATTATTCTTCATCTCTGCAGAATAGCCGCTAGTTAGCCGGCTGGATTTGACTTTTGGATAGGCTTTCAACCCCAGAGATGCCCCAAAGGGGAAAGAATAAGCACCAAGCAGATTGTCGCGGTTAAACGCCCTCTCCTCAAAACCAAAGCTTGTGCATACATATTGATGCAGCTACGACACACGGTCTCTAAGTAGCTTCTATCCCCAGGCAGGCGAATTCTCAAAAGGCACCGCACAAAGTGTTATTGAGCTTCATTGATTAGAACTGTATTTCTGTATAACCATGTGCGTTCATATACGCTCGAATCGAGCAAACGCAGAATTATGTGTTCGCAATTAATAGAAAGAAACGCTATCTATGAAACAATGCAGACATGCGTATTCCATCAAACCAAGTCTTGGGGGGTATATTAGAAAATGATATCACGTCATACAACATTCACACAAGATCTTAAAAGCGAAAAATAGCCATAAGAAACGCAGCAAGAAAATCCAACAACGGGTCTATTTATTGGCCCTGCCGGCCAGGTGACGCTGGCATACTGCCGCTATCAACAAGATATTCAGGTGGAACTTTGGGAACACGCGGCGAGTGCGCCAGTGCACGATGCTGGGCTCTCAACAACTCTCTCTGTCGTTCCTTATCCCGCCCTGGGCCATTGCCGCCGGTGAGACGCCGCACACTGCTCCGGATGATGCCTTCGAGAGAAAAAGGGCATTCTGCGCCAATGCGCGGGTTGGTGGACGACGGGTGGTTCATGCTCAGACGCTCATCCGAATCGGAGAGTGCATCTTCAAAGTAATCGTCAGACAAATACGGCGATTTGACACCATGAGCCTGGGGCATTGGGGGAAGGCTTGAAGACGAGTTATTTATCGACGGGAAATAGTTATTTGGTGATGTTACTGATCGCATATGCAAGGAAGATCTAGGCGGAGCCGTAGTCGTCACACTTGTAGAAAGTGCTAAAGGGGAAGAATGTAGCTGCGTTGCTTCCATACGTTGCGCTGTCGATGGCCGGGATTCAGCAAGTCCATTTTGGAACGATGAGGATGACGCCGTTCTAGCAAGAGATTTTCGCAACAACGGAGCAGTTTGTTGGTCGTACAAATGCGCACTTGCGTCCTGGAAATCCCCTGTGGTGAAACTTCGTAGTGTTGAGCCACCAATCGAAGTTATCGTGGAAGTTGCCTCCGTCTCATCGAAGAAAATCATCTAAGCTGTCCAACTTCTGCAGTAAATCTCCCATGTTCTCATTCTGTGTGTCAAACGATTTCATCGTGTCTGCTCGAATAGTGGGGAAGTACGGTTCACCATAGTCTTCAACTTGGAACTCCATCTCAGGGGTTTCCGTAGGAGGTGCTCCCACATCTTCAGCTTCTGCACAAGTATAAAATACAGCATGAACATTATTCCTCGTGAGGCTCGACTGCGCCGCTGGAATGGCAATTGACCAACCCGTAGGCTCGGGAATTCCGTACAAACTCTGAATACATTCGAACTCCTTCCTAATCGCTCTAGATGAGGACGAAGAGGCCATGCTCATTCGTAAGTGATGTCGCTCCATCGGGTTTCCGGAGACGGTCATGATATGATCTAACACTTCAAGTGCCTGGGGGCACAGGTCCGTATGAAGCAGACGCAAAAGAGGCGAAATCAGATCAGGTCCATGACAAGCGATGTCGGACCGACGCATATCGATCGTGGAGATGAGGAGGCTGAGGATTCTCATAGTATGGATACGGAACCACCGCGTAGTATTGGTCAGAAGCCCCATCATGAACACCAAGCTTTGGACGTCCTGGTTGGGAAAATAATATCCCGAGATCGAACCAACAGCGTCGGCCAGAAACTCTTGGCTATTCTGGTATTTGGACTTCGCGAACCCAAATAGACAGTCCGCCAACTGTGCGCATCCTTGATTTTCTGCTACTGTCGCAAGCAACTTCGCACGACCTTGAAGCTCACCTGAGATATTTGGAGCCTCGTAATGGTGAAGGAAGCAGGGTAAGTTCGCCCAGATTGCAAACAAGAGCCGGCTGCCGTCACCTGTAAGGTCGCTATTCGGGAGCGGTGTCAGCTGATGTAGAAGCCGAAGGGTATTCTCTAGGGCTTCGGATGACTTGAGCCCCTTGTAAACAAGAGCTTGAATGCCCTCAAATTCGCCCTCCCATTTTGGCGGCTTGCTGTCCTTTAGTTTTGTGAGGACCATGTCATCGGCTAAATTGATCTTATCAATATATGTCTCAAGCATAGCCATACTCTCCATAAACTCGCGTTCATGGATGGTATTTAAACAGGCACACGTGGTCCAGAAGAGTTGAGGGTATCTCATTAGGTCTTGAGGCGCCAGGGAGCTGATGATAATCTTCAAGGTAGTTAAAATCTCCATGGAAAATGTCTGGTAATCCGTCTCCTCTTCTGCAATTGTGTTCGAAAGTCGGGCTAGCATATCTGCCAGCATCTTTGAATCCAAAGACGTGGAGATGCATCTGAACACCTGGAACGATCTACACGCAAGGTGTCTCACTGGGCATGAAGTCGCCCAGTTCAATGCTTCACGAGACCATATGTCACTCACTCCCTCGTAGACTGTACCAAACATACCTGTGACGCTTTGGGTGACATGGAGCATAGATGCTGGAACACGGCTGCTATTTTGATCATCTCCCTTTCCGTTATTGTCGTCATAGTCCCAAACTACTGTTGAGTCGCCTTGGCGGATGCATTCTACCAGATCTTCAACCGCCTGTCTCTCTTTGGCGTGCGAATCAGTGTTAAGCTTCGACGCAACAAGCTCGTGAATCAAATGTACCAGCATTTCGCGAGCCTGTTCTTGGACTGTTAAAATATAGTGGTCCCAGAATATAAGCGCCACGTGAACGAGCTTGATCACGTTTTCAAATCCAAGCGTAACCGGTGCAACCATCAGGTCAACTAAAAATATCGTAGATACTTGCCCTAATGATAATCCAGCCTAGAACAAAAGATTAGTGATAAGGGCAAGGATTTTGAGTGTCTAGCGACAAACCTGCTTGTTGCCAACAGGCAAAATGGTTCCTAAATCGGCAACGTATGGTAGATTGGTGACATCAGGCGGCGCCGCCAAAGGTTCTTTGCGCTCATGAACCATATTTTTTGGAGTGATTTGCAGGAGGAAAAAGTCTATCACCTTAGATCCCGCCGGAGTAGATGCTAGAAAAACAACAATTTGCTTGGCATAGTCCACAAAATTTTGTTCCTTTCGTTCTAGGCAAATATTGATTATAAAATCGAGTACCAGCTGGACATTACCGCCGTGTGGGCCGGTTGCAAGAGCCTGCCATAAGGCTTGAACTTCGTTTGGTAGCGTGTTACCTGACTGGATGGTAATTTCAAAAAGATTGGCTAGAAGCATGTAAGACTTCCCCGTTGGACCGCCGTTCGGGTCAAGTTGAAGCTCAATCACTTGGATCCAAGGTAAAATAGCGGCAACCATATTTCGCTGGGTGTCAGGGCGAATATTCCTAAAGTGCAAGGAGAATTCCGAAAAGATGACCAATGCGAGAATCAGAATGCTGTTGTGCGAACCGTTTTGAGGGCTCGAAACTGGCCAGCCTATAGACCGCCGTAGTTTTATCGGACTGCTGATGTGTAAATCTTGCAATCTCGAATTCTTTTGCTGCCGCTCTTCAATAGTCCTGAGCAAACGAGCGGATTTCATTCGGATTTCCCGTTTAGCGTTGCCGAGCGTAAAGAGTACTGCACCCAAAACTCGCCAGAACGCGACAGGATAGTCTATATGTTCAATCAAAACTTCCGAAAAAACTTCAAAATAGCTTTCCAGAGCTTTAGGTCGTTCAGATAGGTAGCACATCTCGATACACTGCTCTAACAAGTAGGGGAGCTCTTTGTTATGGACGATTAAGTTTTTGAGCGCGAGACGACCGATTGTATGGAGTTTATCGCTGACAGTTTTCAATATAATGTCAATCCAAGCAAGCATTCTTCGAACATCAAACTGAAGGACTGCTTTGCTTTCGGTCATAATCCTAATAGGACCGCCCTATAACGCATGTTAGTTTAAAAGATAGCCCAAGGAAATTGCAGCACCTACGCAGAGTGAGGCCATCGCGCTCAACGCGGCAGTCCTCAGGTTCCGCTTCTCTATCTCCATAGCGGCCGTGCTTCGAACTTCGCCATGATCCATCTGTCTTGCTAGCGCGAGCTTACGCATGTTCTCGTCACGAACGTTGATCTGGGATTGATTCGGGGAATACCCACACCAATCTTCCATCAAAGAAAACGCGGATTTCCTAGATTCGAACGGCATCCAACGCAGTGGGTCTTTGGACCGCTTTATTCCCTCAAATAATTGTTCCACTAAGCCGCAATAATGAAAGCGTAAGCCCTGGAATTCTAGATCACTCTGAACTTCCACATCACTGAGAAAGATTCTCAAATCTCTTGTATAAGTAACAAGATTGTTCAGGATCCAGTCATCATTATACACTTCTGGTTCCCTTAAGAAGTGGGCGGTGGCTTTGTACACGTTCGTCACTTCCGTTCGAAGGCGATCCGTCTGTCTATTTCTTCTAGGGCTGCTGGGCGTGCGGTGATGATTTCCAATACGGACCCGGGCTTCCTCGTTGCAAGTGGTCACGGCATATTGCAGGGACTCGAGTAACGTCCTATAAAGGTTAATATTAATAGAGCCAAGCGCAACAACAATTGCATTGCGTATTAATTCATGACTAGCGGAAAGTAACGGAATCACGAATGCAAACAGTGATCTCGCCGAGCTTATTTTGTCCTGAGATTGCTGTCCGCCTTTTGATGCCTTTCGAGCATGCTGAGCGTTAGCCAGCTGGCTTTGCGACTGAGCCCCAGCACTATTCAGTGTGGTACACGCCATGATGAGATATAGCTTCCATTGCTCGATTGTGACTTCTGGCGATATACTAGGACTTCGTGCAATCTGACGGGTGGCAATGTAGTCTAACGACCCGTACTGAACGGGCTGGGCTCCTTCTGCAATTGCAGTGATATATTTGTGCATTTGAACCAGCCTTGCACACACGATTTCACGCCCTAAGGTGACAGCAAACGGACATACGTCGAAACTGATCCGGATAAGGTTTGGAAAGAGCTTCGACCAAAGCGTAGAGTCGTATGATACTTCGCTACTGCAGAGCTCGATCAACGTGTTATGCGGGCCTTTGCCTTGTTTCCCTTTTTGTAACCTGCTCCGCTCGGCGACAGTCAAGAGGTCGTCCTTTAAGTCTAAGACTTTGTCCGAATCACCTTCCAGTATTCTGATTATTCTCGTATTGCTTTTACCGAGGGCACTATCAAACTCGGTAATCAGGCGTAAGACGGTGATGGCGAAGGCTCGAACTCGTCTAGATTGCGAGCATAGGAAGAAAAGTCCATGCGATTCAATCTCTTCAACGTGAGCCAAGACGCTGGAGAGATCGAGTTGTAGTCCTCTACTTCCGGAACCGCTTTTATCAATATGTTCGGCAGATACTTCTCTGTTTTTTTGTCTGATTTCCTCAATCCAAATTCGGATAAGTTCAACGTATAATTTCAAGGTCGATTCAATATGTCCAGGGCCCAGCATCCCTTCGTCCGACATAGTCGAATATCTAGCGTCAAAATTGAAAATAAACCGAGCAAAGCCAATGGCAACATGCTGCGCATGGGACTGTCGCGCGATGGATTTCAGAGACTCTGCTGAGGAGAGCGCGATATTCGATTGCACATGCGCGGTACCCGTGCAGAGCAGGTTTATTAAAGAATTAAAGGGTATGTGGTCAGAAAGACAACGAGGAAGCGCCTGGACGGCAACATGAAGGAGATCGTAGAATGCTTGCTTTTGATCTAGAGCAGTTGCATGGTCGTCACGCCTTCCGAAGCTAAAGTGGTCCGTTATGGGTGTTTTGGGTGTAACTCCTCCAAATTTTTCGTCCAAGGCAGCCTGGCCACCGAAAGTATTATCACATAAAAGGGTCAATTTCCCGAGCACTTCACAGAATCTGAAATAGCACTTCCGTGTACTGTCATTTAACTTTGATGAATTAACGGGGCGACATGTGTGGCGCAGATAGTCAAGAGGAGTTTGCTCGCTAGATGTGCGGGCGGATCGGATGGGGATTGGAGAAAAGGATAGCTCGGATCCGCTGAAATCTTGGGGAAACGGTGGAGGATGCTGGACTTCATTATCCAGATCAAGAATGATGGCCAAAAAAGCGCGAATCCCAATGACCATTTTTTCTGGTTCCATCTGTTCTATTCTAAGTTCTTTCCCAGACATGAATAGATCCGAATTGACCAAAGGAAAAATGATCACTTTGAAGCATAAATCTGGGTGTCTGAATCCGACCAAGCGAACAAGCTGTGTGATTGGATCTACCACGGTAGGGTCAGCACTTATGTACGTTCTTTTGCCTGTAGGTACTGTGATCCGAAGTATGTCTTCAATTTTACGGATGTGATTGCTTAGAGGGTCCGAATAGCGATAAAGATATGTCCAAAGGAGCCGACAAACGGCCTGGAGTGCAGCTGCTCGTGTTGGCCGGTCTTTCAATTTTGCAGGGAGGCTGTGAATGACTGACATCCATTGAGATAGAAAGATATCTCTCGGGGAGGAACATAAAAGTAAAATGTGGAGGGGGAAAGCAGTGTTCCAGTGACGCGGCTTCACGAGTATTTGTCCCAGCCGTGATCCAATCAGATCAAGAAATTCTTTCCATTTCGGCGACGAGAGATTGCAAACTGGATTGGCAGCAATGGGCAGAAGAAATACTTCCAGCATCTGACAATACGCTTGTTTAAGCCGTTGGCCGTGAGCATCGACAAAAAGTTTGGCGAGAGAGTACAGGAAGTCGCAAGTTCTATCCCAAGCTTCCTCTGGGAAAGTTTGGAGGCGCATATGCCTCATTCCATATATGAGCAATTCAGCCCGGGCGTCAGCATCTTTCATCGATAACATCCCGCCCCTTCCTCTTTCTGGTATTGGTTGAGCTCTGTGAGGAATCTGATAGTGACACTGGCAAAGTTATTTTCGCTCATAATTCCGAGTAGTTGACTATAGATACGCCAGTTTGCCATTCGAAGCGGAGAGGCTGCAATTTGGTCAGGGTCCACGGTCTTTAACTGGACAAAAACTATGTCTTCTAGTCGATCAGCCATTTCGCGAGTGATTGCGTCTATAGTGCTTTGATTGAATATCTCGATAAGGACTCGGCAGACAAGGTAAACAGACACCGTTCCTCGACGTTCGGCAAGGACGACATCTTCTTGACGCGTTGCAGCTGGAAGAGCCGCGGTGGTTGCCATAGAGGTAGCATCAGAGACGTCAGGACCAGGTTGGGTAGGCTCCGTGTTACGGCGGAGCATGGGAGCCGCAGTAGGCAATGATTTCGGCTAGAATTGGCATATTAGCGTCGTCATATTCGGCTGTCGGGTTGTAGTCTACCTGAGCTACCATTTGCTTCGCCAGGGCCGCCGCCTCGCCTTTGGACTTCCTCCAGAACATAATCGTGTCGATGAGCGGCTTTGGTTTTTGTCTCGCTATGTGTCCAAGAGCAGAAATGAGCTGATCAAACGCAGGATCTGCACCAGGTCCACACACATGTTCAACTGGTGTATCTAGTTCCGTCATGTTCATAATACACTGATTAATCTTTTCGTCGGCCTGACCAACAAACTACGCAAGCGATAGTGAGTTTCCGCAACTTCAACATTGATAGGGGCGGGTAGACAAACCGAGTTGAAAAGATGATGCAGAGCATATTCCTCTACGGTCCTAGCTTCTTGACTACCACTTTTTGAGTGCGAGGTGTGGTGCGCATGTTCGCGTCGCGATTTAGTGCCCTTCCGATGCAAAGTTTGCTCACCACCCAAATTCATCTGGCCTGCATCTTGGACCGTGGATAGCGGGCTGTTTTCTCGCTTGTTGCTCATCTTGGAGTCCCCGCTCGTCGCCATGCCATAACCACCGGTTGTCATCGTTTCTGGGCTCAGCGGGTTCGTCGAGGATGGAATGGCAAGGCTTGGATTCCGGGTATGCTGAATGTTCCCGTGGACGATGGACGCTTGACGGTGGTGACCATACGAGTTCTGCGGCCGCTTCTCTGTTACATCTCCGTCTGTGGCGGAACCCGAACGAGACTCTGGGCTTTTTGAGGTAGATTGAGATCGAATCTGTGGTTGCGGTTGTAATGAAGGAACGCCAAGCACTGGGACATCGACAGGCCTGCCGCGAGCTGTGGAAACGTCGCGACTATGAGATCCGGGCAGCGGAGGATTTCTAGAAGCTAACCGGTCCGGAGAAGCTTGAATATGAGGCTGCGAGGTCATGATGGTTTCATCAGGGATGAGTGGCAGCTGGTGGCCATGGCCCGTCTGACGCATTGAATGAGGGCTAGCTGGACAGGGGAAAAGCAAGTTAGTGATCAGTCACACCCACAAGGATTCCCTGGCGACAATGGAAGCGTCACGCTTTGGACGATGCTTCGCTGGATGGTGAGACCCTAGAGCGGCCCCGCATCAGGGACTGAACTCACAATTGTGAAGCATCGTCTAACAAATGATGCAAGATAGATCGGTGTTAGCCTGCCTCTTCATCATCGACAACTCGGGATCCGGAAGCAACGGGAACCATCTCTGCTGCATGAAGAGAACCTGTTCAAACGTCAACCATCGCCTTGCCTGCCGTGGATGGACGTTGATGGGACTTTTTTGGGTGCTGGGAGGACAGCTTCAGTCTGGCTGAGCCCCTGGCCAGACTCTTCTACGCTAAGCCGCTTGAGGCTAGCGGCACTGGTAACTGCCTCTTATGTAATGGCTGAGACTGATCAGGCTACCACGTGACCCTTTCGTCGGAACTTCGAGTTTCTGAGATTCAGATGAAATGGACAGACCTCCCAGATCAATAGTTTTTTTCAGTGGACGGGCGCAATCTTCGGCGGAATAATATACTAGAGCACCACGCTCAGCACCTTGATCATCGAGGGGAAGGGCGCTGCAGGCTAACCTCGCTTTATAGCGACAAAAGCGACTGTGAATTTCCTTTCTTTATAGTTTATGTCGATGGAATCAGCTGCAGCATGCATGTGGGCTAGAGGCTGTCGACGTATACATGCCTGTACTGCGTAGTTATGGCCCGGAGTTACATGTGGGATTGATATGCGCCACATACTCCGTTCTCACACAAAGGACGAGGACAGCGACTTTCTCAAACACGCATATGCCAGCCTTGCAGACCTCATGATCAGAATGAGATTTGGATGGCGGATCAGCCGGCAAACAGTCATTCTTCGCGAGGCCATGCCTCAAAAAGCAATCTATGCATTAGCTCACTGATAAGACTTTGACCTTGGGTGAGGATCGCATCTCTCCGCTTCGTGTGCTTCAACCAGTATCACTCCGCACTTCCGCAAAAGCTGGCCTTGGTAAAGTGATCACAGCGGCTTTGGGGCGTCGGGGGAGATTGTGGGGGTGGGCACTGGAAGAGCGGCTTCTGGGCGGCGCTGGGAGTGGAACAGGCGAGAAGCAGCGGGAAATGCAAACCGGCCTTCACATGACCGCAAAGGCCCCAATTCCGCAGTGCGGCTGTTGGGAGCGCACTAATCTGCTTTGGGGCTGGCGTGGCCCGGAAGAGCAAAACTCCACCCGCCGGGGCTTTCGCACTTAACTCAAAGCGTTCTGCACTTTATTATTTCTTTCGTCTGTTGGCCTTTTTCGAAACATCCGCCCGCTTTCCGTATATTCTTCCTGTGGTCATAGAATCGCTTTCTATTTCTCTGTGCCCCTTCTTCATGTTTCCGTTTATTGGCTGACCTCTGTGGTTCTCGGAAGCCCGCGGTACTTTCCCAACACTCTCCCAAGCGCTGAGGAAGCGCGCAATTGAAGGCATACCAGCTGGCCGGGAGAAGGCCTGACCGTTCAAGAAAAGCCCTTGGAACTTTTTGAGCCCCTTGTCCCCATCAAGCACAGCGAGGCTTCCTTCAATAACCTCTCAATCTTTCTCTCACCTCCCTCCTCGAAGCACTCCCGCCCCCCTGAGCGTCAGATCCTCCACAATGGCGCAGGTCGACTCCTTAGATCTCGTGGTCTTGACTGTCCTCCTTGTGGGCAGTGTGGCATATTTTACGAAAGGAACGTACTGGGCCGTTCCCAAAGCCTCTGCTGCAATCTATGGTTCCGCCAACGGTATGCCCAAGGAGGGCAAAACAAGAAACATCATCGAGAAAATGGACGAAACTGGAAAGAACTGCGTCGTCTTCTTTGGATCTCAAACAGGAACGGCAGAAGATTATGCGTCCCGTCTTGCAAAAGAAGGGGCTCAACGGTTTGGTTTGAAGACAATGGTCGCTGACTTGGAGGATTACGACTTCGAGAATCTGGATCAATTTCCTGAAGATAAGCTCCAGCTTTGGCACTTTGATATCATGTCCTGCTCTTCGCTTCTCACTACCCCGCCAGAGGGGCTGGTTGGGCTTCAACAACAAGGCGAACTCCTCATCAGCTCTGCCCACCTTCATCGCAGGCGGCACGCCCAGTCTAATTTTTGCAATCTTCACATCGCAAGGCGTTAAGCCATAGTCAAATATCCGAGCAAGAGTACCAAGAAAGAAAGATGGCCGCCGAACCTGAATATGTCCCCCGCTCCACCGAAACCGTTTACCACATCGCTCGGGAAGTGGTTCAACTTCTAAAGCAATCAGGCGAGACTCTCGCCGTTTCTGAATCGCTCACAGGCGGCGGAGTAATGGCCACTCTGACATCTGTCGAAGGGTGCAGCGCTGTTTTCCGCGGCGGAGTCGTGTCCTACGCCACCCCAGTCAAACAACATCTCCTCAAGGTCGACGGGGATCTCATCGCTGAACACGGTGTCATCCATGCTGATGTTGCCGCCCAAATGGCTGCCGGAGCCAGGACTGTCACCACCCACCAAGACATGGCTCCGACTTCCTGGGGCATTGGAACAACAGGGGTAGCAGGACCTGATCCCCAGGACGGGAAACCGGTGGGAATGGTCTTCATCGGC